TGTTACATATCTTTGTATACCATTGTAAGTCAAAGGTGTTGAGATAAAATAAAATAAGAGGCCCAGAGGGCCTGTATCGCTCACCTGGATAATTAAACAACCATGGGAAATTATTCTTATTACAAAAAATCCCTTCAATGGTACAGAAAAAGTATTTCAAAGAATTTAACCTCAAATTGCCCTTTTGAGCCCTGCAACTCTGCACCCAAAGGGGCTACACCCATCATTTATACAAATTAAGAACCCTTTGCCCAAGGATACTCCAAGCCACTCCAGGCACATGAGACACCAAGGAGAGGAGCGTGACCAGGCAACCAGTGATTTACCTACACATTTGGAACCGGTATCAGATAGTGGCAATGATAACCTTTCCAGTACAAAGTGTGGCCAAATTACTCAGTAAACATGGCAAGGTGTTTGCAAGAAATACAGATAATCTAGGTAAGACTGGAAAAGTGAAGCACAGGATAAAAACAGTACAAGCTCACCCTATCAAACAAGCATCCCGGCGGATACCGCTAGTAAAAAGAGCAGATGCTGTGGCTGAGATACAACGAATGCTTAAAGCAGGAGTTATTACGCCATCTAAATCTCCATGGTCCAGTGGAATTGTCTTAGTTAAAAAGGCTGATAACTCATGGCGCTTCTGTGTAGACTATCGCAAGCTTAACGAAGTCACAGTGAAGGACTCATACCCCTCCCAAGGATAGATGACTCCTTAGATACACTTAGAGGCTCTAAATGGTTTTTAGTGCTGGACTTGCAAAGTGGATACTGGCAAGTTGAAGTTGACCCCAAGGATAGAGAAAAGACGGCTTTTGTCACTACTAGTTGATTTTATGAGTTTCAGTGTTTGCCGATTAGTCTATGTAATGCGGCAGCCACCTTTGAGAGACTCATGGAGTGCGTCCTTCGTCAGGAGCAGTTGCATTCTTGCTTGAATTACGTACGTGGATGACATAATAAACTTCGCAGAGTCCTTCGAGCAATATCTGGAACGGCTTGATGAGATTTTGAGCAAGATTAGGGAGGTGGGTCTTAAAATATCTCCCGAGAATTGTAAAATTATCCAAAAGGAGGAAAATGCTCGGGACTATCTTCAATTGTTATTGTGTAACCGAGTACCGTTGGCTCGTTCTGTTAAATCGTCTAGCATCTTAGTTTCCAATAAATACACACTTGAGTAGTATCTACAAGGAGTACCTGGTCAGTCGTACTTTAGTCGTGTAGTTTGTCATTTTCAGTCGATCTTGTTCATATGTTTATTATCGACAGCATGTTGTTCTCCGGTAACGCAGTGCGCATGTCCGAGGCCGGAAGTTGATATTTTCACATTGCGTTGGTGTTAACCAATCAGATTATAGAGTCCCGGCACTTGAATTTCTCGGGACGGAGTCCCGTTATTTTCGGGACAATTCGTAAATATCGGCAGTCACGCCTCAGCAGCCGGTGAGTACACACGGTTATAAGAACTCGGAACCGCTAACCAGGTCAGAGTTTGATTCACTTCCTATTTTTCCTAGGTAAAGAGCCTTTTATCTTTTATATCTATCTATCAAACTATTTTTACAAGGAATTTCCCTGCAATTGCTTTATTGTAAAGTGACGTCAAAGTCGTATAAATGTTGGTCAATGTTTACATTAGAAACCGTAACAACTTCAGTCAGATATTATTCCTACTGCTAGAATTGAAAAGTATCTACATGTCAGATATACTTTGTAAGTCAGTATAATAGTGAAATTGAGCTATATAGGAAGTCTTAGTGCATATGTACAGACCAAGAGTGATATACGTTGATATTGACTTGTATTATTCTTATTAATCTTCCAACTGTAATACTCGAATGTCTCCAGTACTCCTATGTATATAAATAAATCTTATCAATCTGTTTATTAGGCGTTTGTTCACTGTCACTGAGTGGGTTCAAAGTAGTATCCAGTTAAGAGTAGCCTTGCTTACCAGCGGCTGGAGATACCCCATTGACCAGGGGTAGAAGAGACCCTATTGACCAAGGGTGAAGGGTTGGCTATCTCACTACAAATTATAGGCCTTACTAGAGATAGACCCGACCACGTTATACTTTATTTGAATTTATAAAAGGTTGATATTTAACCTAATACCTGATTACATAATTCATTATACATGAGCTATTTATGAATTAAAAGCAATTCATATTAAAATGAATCTTTCTGCAATATTAAATATTATGTTAGGATTATTGCACAAGAAAAAATATCAATTAGCAATGTTATTCATCTTCACCTCACCGTTCAGTAAACATACTAGGGTTTTTAATACCTTTAAAATCAAAACTAACCCATTGGCAGCAGCTGTCGAAGAAGGTAGGTCCAGAAGCTTATCAACCCCATACATAAAATATTCCGCCGCAACGTTGTATACATCATGTGCTGCACTATGTTTACCTGTATACGGGACTGTTTCCATATGTGTTATAATTTTACATGTTTCGATTTAGGTCGTTTGAATAACACCGAAAACACCATTTCTAAATTTAAGAAAATACAGATAGAAAGATCAGCTTATATACGAAGCTAGAATATAGAAACCTACTTAAAAATTAAGTGTATATGTTTAAACACGAAATCCTATTGTTAAGCAATTTCTAGATTTACACCAACCACCGTACAACTGTCATCACAATATTCGTCCATCGTCCACACAAATATTGATCGTTCGCATATCGTGCACACATTGTGCATACACCGTGTGCAGTGAAGCTTGTGACAGGGCTCCTTAAATTGTAAACCATATGAAAATTTACGACCTTTAAATTTTTCGTCAAATCAACTTCTAGGTCATCAAACAATGGATCAGGTTTTACAAAGCATACAGTCGTACAAATTGTTAAGAATAACAATCCTGCCTGCATAAAAGGGAGCATACATACGTGCAGGGTGTACATTGTACCTAAATTGTGTTCCGGGCCATGGCTTCATGTAACACCATAGGTGACGATGTAATCGTCAGTATACGGTAAACTGAGTATGCACTGATTCTAAAGCCTTAAATAATAGTCTGATTCTAAAGCCTTAAGTAATAGTATATAGGTGAAACACTACCAGAAACGAGGCAAGCATACATTGACCTTTATTTGATCAAGACAACACTCAATATTGAAGTTTCATGTATGTATTTGGCCATTAACGCCTTGATTAGTAGATTGGCCGTAAAACAATACAAAAAACAAAACAAATCCTTATGTTTTTCTCTATTTCTGGAGTACGTTGTCTTATAAACAGATATTAAAGGAACAATTTAGTGAAGTACGTTTTTTGTATAAGATTATATAGTTTGATACTCCTTATGAACAATTCATGTCGAGAGATTAACACAATGTTTTCTTGGAGTGTTTAATTAGTAATGGAGAAATCCTTTACTGTACAGCCGTACGCTTTAGCGACATCTGTCGTTGAATTTCTAGCCAACAAAATTGTCTTTCCAGCCGAGGAAAGAAGGTATTACTTCTCGCCCTATTCACCTAACCTCTCTGAATACAAGCACATGCATCTATTCTGAATCAACTCATCTTCCAACAGCATCTAAAACATTGTTATAAATGAGTGATCTACTTTACGTTTAAGCCTATTGATATCGTCCTTTCTGCAGTTTGAAATTCTCCCTGCGTTTTATTCAAATCCAGATGTGAACAGAAATATCTTATTAGAGGTATATATTATGATCCTTATGATTCTTACTTGCGATGTATTGTGTAAATTCAAGAATGTGTTATTCTTACTTGCGATGTATTGTGTAAATTCAAGAATGTGTTATTCTTACTTGCGATGTATTGTGTAAATTCAATAATGTGTTATGTGTGAACTCATAGTCATTCCTGACACTGTGTTGCCGGTCGACAGCGTTGTTCTTGAGGTAAAGCTTAAAACGATATAATGACAGTTCACTGCGCATGATCTGTGAGTGATGTAGAAATTCTGCAAGATTCATCTTACACGGTTTAAAAGTTACGTCCCGGACAAGATTGCACTTATTCGACCTTTGACCTTGATGTAAAGGTTACACAGATCTCATGAAAGTGCATTGTACATTATCTGTGTACACGTCAAGCACATCATGACAGTGTTAAAGTCTCAACGTTATGGCCCGGACAAGTAATTATTCCGTCTTTGCGTATTGCAGAGTTATCTTCTCTTGGAGCAGGTATTGATTGTTACGTCATTGGTTTGTGCGAAAAAAATACGTCGTTTTCTCAAAAATTGATGACGTTACTCTCACAAACAAGTGACGTAACAATCAATACCTGCTCCCAAGAGAAGATAACTCTGCAATACGCAAAGACGGATTAAGAGGAACCTGAAAACCAGAAAACGCACCAATACTAAACAATATGTCTATCTTCATTCGAAGGAGAGAAATAGCATGTACAAGAAATAAACGAATATATAAACTTAAACGTTATTTTGTTTCGCAATGTGTCCTGTTCGTTTACGCACGTACATGTAAGGAGCGCATACGTGTTTTATGTTGTCTTATGTAACTGCCGGTGGCAACACACAACACATAGCTACATTGAAAATTGCTGATCTTGTCATTTAAAGTGTTTGGTATAATATGAACCGACAGCTGTATACCTTACGATAGGTATCTCTAGGATCATAGACTACTGTGTTGTTTGCTGAACACGAAATGTTCTAGATCGACAACGTTTGAATTTTACGACTAAAAGTTCTATTGGTCAAACACTTTACCGACCAATTGTCTTTGAAAATCATGCAATGCGTACATGTACTTTCAAACAACTGGTGTTGAACTTGTGTTATAATACCCAACGCTTTTAAAATCGTTATTTGAAATGTAAATACGCTTGGGAAAGCGTCACTGAAACTTTTGTATTCACAAGTTCCGGTTAGATGATTTTTACCTGCCTGTGTCAAACAGGCTACAGAACCTGAATGATACCTGCGGCAGGAAAGAGCAATCGACTTGTATTCATGTCGGGCCTTAACAAGGGTGGGTAACTTCAGCCGGGATGTTTAAAGGCTCTACCGACAAATTTGATTTTTCGGATATTGAAAGTAGAAAAAAGATGGGACGCAACGATGAGGAAGGTGGTTGCCGAATGTCCAGTGCTTCGGGTTTCCTTCTAATATTGTTTGCCTTAGCAATCGCTGTAGGTGTTGGACTTCTTGTGCATTTTACTGGAAACCAGAAGGAGTTTAATTGTAACTGCCAGTGTGGACCAGTCGAGGGTGTGGTCACATCGGCCCCCGGAGTTCTGACGGAAACATGCAAGGCTTCAGCGGTTCTTGGAAACCAACAGCTATGTAGGTCTTTATTTTTTTTTTAAAGGATGTTGGTTAGTTCAAGATGGATTTATATGTATTTGGTTCGCTAAATAAAGATAACAGGTAAAACGCAGTAAACATTCTATTTTGCTGTACAGCGTATTATATTTGCTGAAAGAGTTTTACAGATATTTTCTCTACAGGGTATTACATTTGCTGAAATAGGTGTACAGATACTTTCTGTAAAGGGTATTACTTATTTTATTTTTTTTGAAAATAGTATTTTCTTAAACGAATTATTTTTATTTAGTTGTTTTTTTAAATATTTTTTCCTTAAAAGGAATTGTTATTTCGATATAACGATTTTTTTTTTAAAAATCTGATTTTTTTGCGAAATATTATTTACGTTAAAATGAGTTAATATAACGGGTTCTTTTAAGAAATAATTAAACAAAATACATTTCGAAACAAGAGACAAATGAGCCATAATGATCACCTGATGTGACAAATAGTGCCTGTAATTCAAATATATTTTTCGATGACAAAAGGATGTTGGGGAATGACTAACAAATATCGTATATATAGCTGGCAAATGAATTGACAACATAGTCAAGTTACCAGGTGAGAAAAGGGTGACCCGGGCGTAATATATTTACATTTATGATAAAAAAAAGATCTTTCCATCAAAGAAGAAGATTCTTGAAATTTTAGCCAATTTGACCCCATTTCAGCCCAATTGATGTAATATTTGTGCATATATTTTCTGTGCATTGTATTATATTTGCTGTAATAGCGGTACAGATTGAATAGATTTTTTATGTACAGTGTATTACATTTGCAGTTATGGTTGTCAAGACATATAATGTACAATGTATTATATTTGCTGTAATAATTGTACACATATGCTCTGTTCAGTGTATACCATTTACTGTAATAGTTGTACAGATTTGCTCTGTTCAGTGTATTAAATTTGCTGTAATAGTTGAACAGATATGTTCTGTTCAGTGTATTGCATTTGCTGTAATAGTTGTACAGATATTGTCTGAACAGTGTTTTACATTTGCTGTAATAGTTGTACAGATTTGCTCTGTTCAGTGTATTACATTTGCTGTAACAGATGTACAGATATGTTCTGTTCAGTGTATTGCATTTGGTGTAATAGTTGTACAGATGTTGTCTGTGCAGTATTTGACATTTGCTGTAAAAGTTGTACAGAGATTTGTTGTGCACATGTTTACATTTGCTGTAATAGTTGTATTATGTACAGATATTTTCTGTACTGTGTATTTCATGTGCTGTTATAGTTGTATAGATTGCACAGTTATTTTCTATACAGTGTATTACATTAGCTGTAATAGTTGTACAGATATTTTCTGTACTGTGTATTACATTTGCTGTAATAGTTGTACAGATATTTTCTGTGCAGTGTATTACATTTGCTGTAATAGCTGTAATAGTTGTACAGATATTTTCTGTGCAGTGTATTACATTAGCTGTAATAGTTGTACAGAAATTTTCTGCGCAGTGTATTACATTTGCTGTAATAGTTGTATACATTGCACAGTTATTTTCTGTACTGGGTATTACATTAGCTGTAATAGTTGTACAGATATTTTCTGTGCAGTGTATTACATTTGCTGTAATAGTTGTATAGATTGCACAGATATTTTCTGTACTGTGTATTACGTTAGCTGTAATAGTTGTACAGAAATTTTCTGCGCAGTGTATTACATTTGCTGTAATAGTTGTATACATTGCACAGTTATTTTCTGTACTGGGTATTACATTAGCTGTAATAGTTGTACAGTTATTTTCTGTACTGTGTATTCCATTAGCTGTAATAGTTGTACCGAAACTTTCTGCGCAGTGTATTATATTTGCTGTAATAGTTGTATAGATTGCACAGATATTTTCTGTACTGTGTAGTACATGATCTGTTATAGTTGTAGTTATTTTCTGTACTGGGTATTATATTAGCTGTAATAGTTGTACAGTTATTTTCTATACAGTGTATTACGTTTGCTGTAATAGTTGTATACATTGCACAGTTATTTTCTGTACTGGGTATTATATTAGCTGTAATAGTTGTACCGAAACTTTCTGCGCAGTGTATTATATTTGCTGTAATAGTTGTACAGATATTTTCTGTGCAGTGTATTACATTAGCTATAATAGTTGTACAGAAATTTTCTGTACTGTGTATTACATTTCCTGTAATAGTTGTACAGACATTTTCTATACAGTGTATCACATTAGCTGTAATAGTTGTACAAATATTTTCTGTGCAGTGTATTACATTTACTGTAATAGTTGTACAGACATTTTCTATACAGTGTATTACGTTTGCTGTAATAGTTGTACAGTTATTTTCTATCCTGTGTATTACATTAGCTGTAATAGGTGTACAAATATTTTTCTGTGCAGTGTATTACATTTGCTGTAATAGTTGTACAAACATTTTCTGTGCAGTGAATTACATTTCCTGTATAGTTGTACAGTTATTTTCTGTACTGTGTTCATTTGCTGTAATAGTTGTACAGATATTTTCTATATAGTGTATTACATTCGCTGTAATAATTGTAGTTATTTTCTATACAGTGTATTACATTAGCTGTAATAGTTGTATTGATATTTTCTATACAGTGTATTACATTTGCTGTAATAGTTGTACAGATATTTTCTATACAGTGTATTACATTAGCTGTAATAGTTGTACAGTTATTTTTCGTACTGTGTATTACATTTCCTGTAATAGTTGTACAGACATTTTTTGTACAGTGTATTACATTAGCTGTAATAGTTGTACAGATATTTTCTATACATTGTATTACATTTGCTGTAAAAGTTGTATAGACATTTTCTATACAGTGTATTACATTTGCTGTAATAGTTGTACAGATATTTTCTATACAGTGTATTACATTTCATGTAATAGTTGTACAGACATTTTCTAAACAGTGTATTACATTTGCTGTAATAGTTGTACAGATATTTTCTGTGTAGTGTACCCAATTTGATGAAATATGATACAACATGTATGTCAATGAACAAAAGATGTCGAGGTTGATAGATATATAGGACATGTCCTGCACGCATTTATAGAGAAAACATGTTTCAAATTACGGTTGGGAATTCAAAAAAATTGTCGCTATTTGACCTACATGTAGTACAACACGTATGGCAATGCACAGCAGGTTTAAAGGTTAAAACAATATATATGAAACACTACGGAGCCTCTAAACTGACATGCTACACAATTAATTTGTTTCGTTTCATTGTTTATTCTTTATTTTTTTCTCGAAAAAGCATTTATATAAAATTCACAATTTGATAAAACACCTAAAGATCCTTCCATCGATGAAAAAAGTATTTGTTCCCGCACATGTGGGTCTGAGGAAGAAGATTGCGACTTGCAAACGAACGGACGATGCCGGGAAATAGATCGCAATAAGTCACCTAAGACTAAGAACGAAATAATATCAATTCGTTTCAACGAAATAGTTTTCCGTTAAAACGAAATAAAATAATTGTGTAGCATGTCACTTTACTGGCTCCGTAACATACGCTTTACGCGTTTATCAAATAATATATATATGGGTACAGGGTTGAGTACATGAACAACAATGTGTACAGAAATATTTACATCATAGTTGTGTGTGTATACAGATCCCGGACCGTTTTTTTTTTTAACAAAATTGCGTTGCGTTTCTGTTGCGTTTGCGTTCCATTTCCGTTGTGTTTGCGTTGCGTTTCCGTTTGCGTTGACCGTTTGTTTTGCGTTTTAACTTTAGCGATGAATGTGCGTTGAACATGCGTTTTGCTGGTGATGTAAGAAAACGATCGATGTGCAGGTTATTTTAAGAATATGTGAGTGCTGAAATGTTTTTTATATAAAAAATAGTTAAATGGATAATAAAGTTTGCAAAAATAAATATGCAAATAAAATAGATAAATACAGGAAATAATCGGTCGGAAGTTTAGCAATGACTTTATATTCAAGTATTTGGGCTGCGTCGTGTACTGATTGATGGATGCCTGTCTATACACGTACCTTAATTGGCCAGTAAATTTATAAGCAGAAAACAATTGAGTAATTAGTTATTTGTATTATTTTAAATATTTAATTTCCATACTTATATCATTCTGTTCATATGAATATATGAATCAAATTACGCTAAATCTACAAATACTTCCATCACTGATGGGCTGATGGTTTCGTAATGACACCAGGGTAGTCAGGATTGAAGACATATATAAAATATTTGTAGTTTTATCTCTATGTGTGTATGGTTTTTCGTTAATTTTATTGTCTATATTGTGGGTTTTGTTTACGTCCAGGTCGAACTATTTAAGTCCTGTGCTCGACACGCAATATGTATATCGGGGGTGCTGCATGCGAGGTTCGAGAGATACAAGGCCCCTGCTAACATTGACAATAGATTGACTTTGATTACATCGTTAAAAATCATTGAGACCTAGCAATTTCACTAGTTGTGTATTCGCTATTTCTTTAATCTGAGTTAAGAGGACACATTAATATTATTTTTTAATATTTAATAAAATGGTGATGAGTATTCAAATAAGTATTTAAAATATTGAAAAGACTAATAAAGAACGTGATTATGGTTAAATCACGAAGAGCAAAAACCGCCACAAATGAAAAAAAATATCAATAAATAATTGAATTGAATAAATAAAACAAATAAATTGATAAATCAATAAAATGAAATAAAAATATTGAAATAAATTAAATGAACATAATAACTTAAATAAAATAACTAAATAAATGCAGGAGGGTATAGATGGTAAATTCAGTTTACATTTGTAGGTGATGTAGAAGGGTGTAGGTGATAAAGGAAGTATAGGTGATGTAGGCGGGTATAGGTGGTATAAGTAGTAAACGTGATGTACATATGCAGGAGGGTATAGGTAGTATAGGAAGTATAGGTGATGTAGGGGGATATAGGTGGTATATTAAGTTCAGGTGGTGTAGGAAGATATAAATGGTATAGGGAGTATAAGTGGTATAAGAAGTATAG